CCTGGCCAAGGCTGGACTGAAGAGAGTTGAAGGCTGAACTCTGCTTCCCAGGACGTTGGCTCTTCCCTCGCAGTGCTCGGGAGGTGTTAGCAGGGTGTGAGCGCTCGCTCGCAGTGCTCTACTTGTTGGGGCAATAGAAAGAGCTTCGGGCTTGGGTAACATGAAGGCAGGCCGCCCTGGCTGCTCAAACAAACAAGGCGTCCCCACCCTCTGTTTGGCGTTTCTAACCTTGTTGCTCTTAATAATCCCATAACAAAAACTTGTTCGTGAAAGTGGAACGCAACCTGGGGTGGAGAAACAAGAGAGGGTCAAGGCATGTGGGTTAGTATCCCATGACCACCGTGTGCCGCGTCTCTGGGGCAAGACTCCTCAGCCCGAGGTAAGCCGTGATCGCGGGTGGGAGGCAGCTGGATGATGCCGCTCGAAGGGAGGTGAAGAAACCTCAGGTTTGTGTCCGTGAACAGAAAAGCCAGCGAACCCGTGGTCTGGCTGTCACGCCTGGATTCCCACTGTCTGAAATGAATGGCACAAGTCTGACTGACCGGAGAGTTTCCCGCATTGGGCAGTTATACCAATTCTCTGTTGTGTGGGCTTTCTGCTGCCTGTTAGGGAGTGCAGCCACGCTAGAACCTTTGCTTTGGGGAAGGGAATGGTTTCTGTGATCAGATTTTAATTTTTTTTTTTTCCCATTTCTGCCATCTATTTGCACAAAACACTTTGAATTTAGTGTATGTATGTGACAACTTTTAATCACCCGTCAAATTAGTCTGAAGTCGGTTTTCTCCAGAGGAAAGACAGCATGATTGCATAAAGCCAGTGCTTCCCCAGCAAGGCTGGATGTGTTACTGGGCAGGAGAAAGCACACACTTCCTTAAGCAGCCCAGCTAAAATGGCCCAAAAATGTACTTGGAGAAAGGCTCTGTCCCAGACCTCTACCTGGGTGCTTGCTAGTCAGGAGTAAATGCCCTTCTGTCAAGCTCCCCTTCCCCAGAGCTGATGCACACTAGCTACTCCTGGATCTTTCAACTTTCCAACAAATTGTTACGTTTAGCACCAAAGTCTTGGGCCCGTGGGTGCGTGATGGAGGCTGCAGCTTTGCTGCTCACAGATGTGCCGGCCAGGAAGGACGCTTGCGAAGAGGTCACCTCTTCCAGAGGCGAGAGGAAGGCAAGGGAGGCGTTGGGAGCCAGGCTGCTGTCCCACCAGATGGCAGCAGCAATGCTGCTCTCTGCACCAGGAGGACCCCGGGGACGAGGGGTGTCCCTGGGGACAGTGAGTGGGGAGGTCACCCTGCCCTGGGCAGAGGACGCAAGGAGTGGAGAAGGGCACAGTCTCCAGGTGAGGCAGAAAAAGCAGAAGGTGGCCCGAGAGCTGTCTGAGGGGCAGCACCTCTGGGGCGGGCAGGGTTAGTCCCTCTGCCAGGCTGTCCTGGCAAACCTCTGATACCCCGTTTCACTCTGTGTTGGGCATCTCTGGTCCCAGCTCCAGGCTTTAACCCCCGCAGCCTAAGGCAGCGCGCTGAAAGGTGCAAACAACCCCGGTCCCAGGGTGGCTTGGCTTTGCAGCCTGTCTGCTTGCAGCCCTCTGCACATTCCTCCTACCCTGTCCCACCCACCGAAGGCCATCCCTGGTTTGTTACTAGGAGAGGAACAACAGAAATGTCCAGGCGTGACTTCAGAAGTGCAAGTCATTTTAGCCTGACATTAGACAGCATTGAGTCTTTGGGTCCAGATCGTTAGTATGATGAATTCATACCAGAGGGCCCAGTACTGGTAAAAGCTTGGCAGGTTTTTTTTTTAATCTGAAGCCCCGTGGTTGTGTGGCCCCAGAGCAATTAAGAGTAATGGCAGCACAGATTCATCACTTGTATTTCTCCAAATACAGCCCAAAAACTAAACTACAAGGACCAGGTTTTGGGCAAAGTCTGCTGGCAATGGGCAACGTAAGACCTGCTGGGGCCACTGAAGGGGCCTGTACGGGGGCGACTTGCAGCCCTTGCTGCTGCCAGAGCACATCTCCTGTCTGAGGCCCAAGAACAGCAGCTGGTTGCCACCTTCACACATCAGAGCCCTACAAGCCAAGGTGGAATCTCCCAGCCCACTGCTCTGCTTTGGCTGCGAAGCTCCAAAAAGGTTTGGTTTGGGTTGTTTTTTTTTTTTTTTTCCTTCCTTGGAGACTTTGCCTTACTTTTCCTTCCTTTCATGCTAGTGGAAAACCTCGGCTCTGCACACTGCACAGCAGCTGGGCCAGCCTGCTAGCAACATTCAGACCAGCCAAACAAGCTTTTGTTCACGATAAACAAACAGGAAACTGCCTGATTTCCTCTGTGTGTTCACCCTCTCTCGCGCGCGCCCGCGTGCTCTCTCCCTATTTAATAGATAACCAGCCTACCTGACTTGTGAAGAGACTGAAAGCAACCACATGGACAGGCACGCTGGAGCAGTGGTGATTTGCAGCATGGCTGCTGCATTGAAATGGGCATCTGCTCCCTGAGTCGCCGATGCACCGGAGCTGAAGCCTCTCCAGGTAAGGGAGCTCCCCGAGTTTGGGATAATTTGTACCCTGCAGCAAGCTGGCAGCACGTCTGAAGTGGTTAGAGCAAGGGATAGGGAGGAGTTTCCTTATTGCTTCCTTTGTGCTGTTTATATCCAAGTGGATCTGGCAGAAAATGCCTCTGTCCTGAAACACAGAGGATGTGGCGGTGTGTGCAGGGGGAAAAAGCGCTTGTGGAAGCGGGTGGGAAATAATGTCCTAAGCCAGGCTGGAGCTCAGCTCGGCTGGGAGATGGGGAGCGATTCTCGGGGACAAATTTTGTTTAATTATTCCTTGCCTGGCACTAGGCAGCACTGGGGGCTGAGACGTTCCTCATACGCCCATTTTCCATCAGCAGGACTGAGCCAATTTCAGTCCAGCAAGTCCTGACTTACACTAGTGCAACTCTCTAGGTAGGTCGGGTTTACTTAGGGATGACTTGACTTTCCGTGCTTTCATTTTCTGCTTGGTGAAGCAGGAGAAGACTGTCACAGGTAGAGAGGTATCAGGGTAAGTGGCGAGGGACATAGAGCGTACTCTGGCTAGGGGATGCAGAACAAACTTCCAGAGAAAGTGAAGCATCTGCTGTCTTTAGAAAAATATGGTAGATGCTTCTTTTAACCACGTGCTCACCCACAGCCATGCTGGATTCACTTTCCCCACCCACAGAAAGCAATAAAAAAGCAAA